GGACGACGGGGCGAGTGGTTGGGCGCCGACCTCTTGTTGTTTGTTGTAAACCAAAAACGACATAACTATCACCGAAACGGTCAAAACAAATGCCAAAACCATAATTATATAGCATATCGTATATATATGGGACGACCCGTCCGCAGCGCGTGACCCGACTCCAGCCGACTCTGGGATTAAAGCGCTCGGCTCTGACTTTGATTCGCAATTGATTAGTAACTTATGGTCCGATTTTGGGCACTAATTAATCCCAAATTAATTGATATCATAATTATATTCTATGACAGAGTGAGAGTTAGAGCGCTTACATCTGTGAACAGTCGGGTTTTGTCTGTCCAACAGTAGAATAAGCTATTGTCCACTTTGTACAGCCATAGGTACTGGTGCTGAGTGTAAGGGCCCGACACCGTCACCAACTGATACGGACTGTTCGACTCGAAGTGAACGCTATATATGGACTCAATATTATGCGAGACGTGTAGCGGAATGTGAATGTCTGTCAAATCATAGCACCGGTAGTTCCGGACGAAGACAGTCGTGTCATTTGGATTGGGCTTTTGGCTCATAAAACAAACGATCGACTTATAGCTTACTCTTACGGATACAGTGGGCTTGAAATCGGATTTGAAACTAAAATAAGTGGACGCTTCGGTCTGGTGTGTGCCCGTCAGACCAGTGCCCCGAAACTTACCCCAATGTATGTTCTGGTCGTCTGGCTTTTAATTGGATTGAAAATTGTTTTTTCAAAACAAATTATAAAGTTGATATGTTTATAATTAAGTCATACTTTGTATAATCCGTATATAAATCCAGGACTAAATTCAGTACTGAAAGCAGTGGTGTATTCGCTGCCAAACCAATCACTTTTAAGTCCCGTTTTATGCAATAAAACGGTTTTGCCATTGAATTCAATGAACCAATAGTTTTGTCCAATAAATAACACTAATTCAGTGCCGATAGTGTTATTATCATTCGTTTTCATATATTGAAAACTATAGTCTATTTGATGGGAGTTTGTGGCAAACGATTGGCAAAAGTCTTGAGTGGATTCGTTGCCATTAAGTAGTGATAAATATATCAACGCTTTTTTGGTGATAGTTTGATTGATTAGTAATTAAGAGATTATTGGCATTTAAATGAACATATTTTGAATACCTATCAGAAAGTTTGCCAAAAATGACATTTTAAAAGACAATTGCAATGTTTATATTCAGATTCAACACTTACTGTATACTGTATTCGTATTCAGTATTGAATGAATATTCATAACTTATAATTCATAAGTCATTGATCACAGAATTTAACCAAATTGTAAATTCAATTTTTACAAATCACGATAGTTTTAAATTAACTATTGTTTTAAAGTTATAAATTGCAATAAAAATTAACCGAATATTTGGCATTGTTTTCAAATTATCTTTGGATTGTCAGAAAAATAAATATATAATTATCTCATTTTCACTTTATATTTACATTTATTTTTCTACATTTTGTATTTCAAAAACAAATATTAAAACAGCGTTTTAATTGTGTTTGAATGAGTAATTTTAATTTTGTATATAAATTAATTTATATTAAATCAAATAGTATTTTATAAATTGTACTCATTTTGTGCGTTAAATTTGTCTAAATTCTATGCAAAGGTATGAAAACTACGAGATTTACTGTATGTTAAGTGAATAGTTGTAAACACAATAATTATAATTTACATACAAATATAAAACTACAGTACAATTAACAGTAATCCCTAATACAGATTCCCTATAACTCTATGATTACAAAAAAAAGTGTAAAAATCTATTAACAATTCTTATTTATTTGAAACAATTAACTTAATCGTGAAATTGATATAAAACTGAGTATAGATTTCACAATTTAAATTTATTTTAAAAAACTGGTTTTTTGAAAAATTCAATTTTAACGGTTTATACAAATTTTGATTGAATACCAAGTGTTGTATAAATTGGTGATAAATGTCTTTCATATGGAAGTGTTGTCCGTGTCTTTCAGACAAAACTGATGAAAAGAAAACTACAAAAAGTAAACCCAAAACCACAGCCAAGACATTAAAGTCTAGGATTGATTGGAGAGCAGACAAGAATGTGACTCCGAGTCAGATCCCAACCAAAGACGTCACGCGTGTCTATAAAGTGCCCGAAGAATTCGAGTCCACTGATGACTGTCTCAGGAGTCAGGGCTTAACATTAAAGAAGCAGTTGGGGGAGCAGATAGGGAAGGGAGCTTTTGGTTTCGTTTATGAAATCACCGCAAAGACCGGTGTAATGGCCTGTAAAGTGGTTGAGTTGAGGTCTCCTTTGAAACCAGAAGCACAAACTGAAGAATCGTTTGCTCAGGAGATCGTTATAATGGAAAGAGTGAATAAACAACACATAAATATTGTTCAAATTCTTCAGCACTTCATTATCCACGAGAAGAATCAATGGAAGGGTTATATAATCATGGAATTAGCGGAAAGCGATGTTTTCTCTCAAGTGAAAGCCACTACTGGTCTACGATTTCCTGAAGAAAAAGCCAAACATTATTTCAGACAAATAGCCAATGGTCTGAATTTTCTGCACAAACAAAACATCGCTCACAAAGACCTCAAACTAAACAATGTATTGGTTTTTCAATTGCCTCTTAAAGAAGATTTGCTTAAATTAACTGATTTTGGGTTAAGTCGTGTCGCCTATACTAAGAAGAAAGGGGTCCTTAAAGAGAAAGAAGCGGCCGGAACTGCTGATTACATGTCTCCCCAATTGATGAAACTATTTATACACGAGAAGTTTGGAGAAAAAGTGGATGTTTTGAGAAAATATCCCTCATATCAAGCGGACTGTTGGGCACTCGGAGTTTGTCTTTATTTCATGATTTGTGGCAAATATCCTTTTCGTTTTAATAGCAGCAAAGCGAAGGAATGTGGGGACGCTTTTCGCAAAATGATGGACAAGAAGTACGAGATAACAAAGTTAACCGAAAACCTATACTCAAAGAATTGTTTGGATTTAATTCGATGGCTATTAGAACCGGTGGTCGAGACCAGGATTCCTATGAAGACAGTTATGTTACATAAATGGCTACTAATAGACTAATCACTCAAAGAATTAAATGTTTATAATTTACTCTATTTTGATGGTCGACGGCATCATTGGTGCGGTTGTCGAGGACCTGGACCTGTGTCTGAACGATCTCTTCGATGTGAGCGCGAGAGACATAATTGGGTGGATATATGGGAGGAATGAGTGCTCCTATTCTGTTGTCTCCCATTCTGTTGTCGGGTTTGGCAGCGATCGGCTCAACGGAGACCGTTATCGTGGGAGAGGTGTCTGAATTGTGATCGACCGGTGCTATCGGCTTTGTTATTGAATAGTATTGATGGCTGTTTACGATATAGTTTACTAATTTTAATTCAAACTAAGGTTTTAAATGCTTATGTTTAGATACATTAATATTAAATACACATATACATCATGATGCACATCTTATACATTCGTATCAAACACTAACTCGTAAATATTAAATATAATGTCATTTGGTAGAAATTTAAATATTTAAAAATAATTAAACATTTATGAACTTTTAATCAGATAAAAATTTTATCATTTTTCATTCAAATGGCATTTTATAGCATATTTTATAAACTTTAAGTGAAAGCTATGTCATCGAAACTCTCAATGGTATCCAATCCTTGCTTTTCTTCTTCTGTGAGCTCTCTATTAAAGGGACGGATGGCTAGCAATACATCACAACCGACTCCTTTGGCAGCATTTAATTCTTCAATGAATTCAATAATAAAACAAATATTTAGAAATAACTAAGTATTGAACATAATTATAATACCCTGGGGGTTATCGGAAATGAATAAAATATTTGTCGTTTTAACGCCTATTTTTGTAGCAATTTTCATATAACTATCACCGCTTGTCTTCGAGCCATAAGTTTCGACATCAAAATAATCTCGGATTAGCTGTCGATTAAGAAATAAATTCAAAAAAGTGAAAGAGTCGGTCGTCATATAAAATAATGGTTGCATTACTGGCGTTAGATTTCCTTTGACTGAACACGAGAACAACAATTTCTGCGACAGATATACACCAGAAGAATACACATAGACTTTAAGATTTTGAAAATTATGCCATTGATTGAACGCTCGGCTCACGTCTTCAAACACGTGTCCCTTAAAGTCATTCTTTTGGTAGCCGTAGTACCAGACGTAGAGCTGCAAGTGTTGTAATGCTTTTCCATATCGCCTATTATTCATCTGATGGATCACATTATTAGAAACCGTTTCAATAATAACTAAAAACAATTGATATCATTCAGAATTTGGACATTTGAAATACATTATTGTGTAAATACCGTCTCTGCTCCGGTCTGTGTCTGCGATCGCGGGAACTGTTGGATCCAAAAACAAAGTAAATATCAAGAATTAATGGTAATAATCAATATAACTATTCGCATACTATTGGCTCCATTTTCATTATCAGCGGCAGTACTTATGCGGAGATTATTAATGAGATCCATAAGTAGTGGTGCATCCCATCTGCTCTTCAGACATATTTTTGTATTGAATTTAATGTACGGCACCAGACATTCGCCCCAATACTTAACCGATGTCGTCGTGCCCTCAATGTCACAGATAATAGCTCTTGGTTTGCGTTTTCTGACTTTCTTTGTGGCCATTCTTACCGTTTGAATGCAATTACAGTAACGGCTTTATAATAAGACGAGCTAATAATAAATGCTAATCAGAGAATTAAATGTATTAATTTTTTAAAATATATTTTTATGTAAAACTTAAAAATGTTGTTTAATTTTGTCTGAATTAAGTATTCTATAATTTAATTAAAATTTGTAATTATAAAAACAAAGAATATTAGAGAATATAATTGATAAAGAAAGTTGTCTGTACTTATTTGCACTAAACCTAAATAAATAACAATTTCTATTGCATTATTGGTTAGAAACTGACGATTGCATTACGATTTAAATGATAAACTAATGCTAAGTTAATGGAATTAAATAAACAATGATTGGTAAAAATACTAGTCAACTAAATTATGAAATAAATATCTACATATAAACGCATAGATAAATACTGCAAAGCAGTGCTTTTTTAGATAAGAGGCTGCACTTGAATGCACGCAAATATCGCTATATAAACCGTTTTTGATCTCATATTCTGTACACATTCTTACAACTCGTAAGGAACTGACAGTCAGAATATTAATATTAATTGCTATCAAAAGATTTAATTTAACACAAGTCAGTTGTTAATTTTGAAGTAAGTTTTGATTCAATTCAAGTAAATACAAGAATTTTATTATATTTTAAAATTTTTGTATAATATTTGACATAATATTTACCAAAATATAAAAGTTTGTGTTTTATGACAGATTATGGACAGCAAACAAAACAATCGAAATGATGAAAATCGGGCACATTTTGGCCCCAGTTTTGAAGGACATCCAGAATTCCCGGGATTTCCCGGAATGGGAGACCCGCGTCAAAGTCTACTAAATCGTGGCTTTGGGCCAGATTTTGGCGGAGGACGAGGAGGTCGTGGCCATCATTTCCCGGGACCACAAAACTGGGATCATTTCGGAGACTTTCGCAGAGGACGTGGATTTCATGGAGGAGACAGAGGGCGAGGATTTCACGGACCGCGCGGTGGAGATCGTTGGAGACGTGGATTTGATGGCCCCCGACATTGGATGAGCGACTCTTT